GAGAAGCATTCTGGCAGTACAAGTTAACATGGATATCCATTTCAAATGAAACATAAAACCTCAAAAGGTTCCATCATTCTACTATAATTTGTAGTTGTTGGTACTGAAGAACCAAGGTCCTTGTCTATCTTATGGTAGTACCAACACAAGCATCTCAGAATAGGATGTCATGCAAGAGTTAAATGGTCAGAAAAGTTGGAAAGACGAATAAGCAATAACAGTTTTTTCGTCTGCGTGTACATAAAATTATTGTGCTGTAAACCGCTACAAAATAGTGATCTAAATACCATCTAATATTGCTCATCGTCCTGTATGTATTTACCTTATCATTTCTTTCGCACAGAAATTTTAGCCTTTGCGCCCTTTTATGCATAAATACTCCATCAAGGTGGCCAGTTTCTACAGATCGAATTTCAATGGCTTTCTCGCCCCATCCCATTATCTGATTAGATCGAATATATGCTGTAAAAGAAACATAAATGAAACATGAGAAACCAAAGTTTTTGGGGAAGCACAAAACTTCCAAAACAGGGTCATCAATACCCAAGAACAAAAAAAAAAGCACTAAGCAAAAACCGATTTAAAAAACTGAAAAGCCAGAACTGTTTAGGCAAAAAGTATATGTTAAATGAAACAGTAAATGAAGCATACCAACTGATGTAGGCATTTCTCCCCATTGTAGAACCACATCTTTGGTGATCCTGCCATATGTATTGACATAAACTCCTTCATCTTCATAACAAACCAGCAATTCCATGCCATCTGCATTTGGTAGGATGATAATAGCATGTGGCTGGATACTGCTCTGGATCTAAAACAAAATCACAATGAGGTAACGTTAGACATAATGCAGCTCACAAAGCTGTGCTGAACCTAGAAACTACACAGAGACCTGCATGTCAATTTTACCTGCTCATGTGCTTGGTTTAAAAAAGGTACAGGTGGTGTATGTTCTTAGACACTATTTATAACCATGGTGATGATAATTGTACAACTTTAAGACATATGAGTGATTACAGATATCCTAAAGGCATCAACAAATGAAAAAAAGTTACTGAGCCAGTCTGAAAAACATTTGCCAGATACCCCAAAACTAAAATAATATTTTCCAGTCCATGCCATGCTTTTGTTGAATGAGTAAATGTTTAACTGTTTATATTCATTTCTTATTTTGCCCAGCATGCTGGGCTTTGTCAAAGTTTAGTCTCATTGAAAATCCATACTAGTCCATATGTACTTGGGAGTGGGTGTCCTTCCTTTGACTTGTCTGTGTGTTGTGTAAACATAAATAGCAGGATATCAAAATAGAAAGCAGTAAAGTCAACCTGATGGACTGCCTTGCTGGCTGCATGTAGGAAACCTTAAAATATGAATATACAATGGTTTTATATTTAACTTACTGCAAAGTTAAAAATAAATAAATAAGACTATGTATTGTTTAATACTGATTACCAACTGATTAATTAACTGTTTAATACCGATTGCTTTGCTCAAGTGTGGAAAACCAATAGTTTCCTAATAATACTCATGTAGTATGGTATTCTCAAGATCTTGCTCAGTTGTACGCTACCCCAGCAATGTTTGTGTTCCAGTTAGAATTTATAGCAGGGGGAGGCAACCGTGGCATTCGAGCTGTTGTGAAACTCATCATTCCTCTGCCTCTGGGAGTCAAGGAAAACGTCTCTAGAGCCCATGGAAACAAACATCCATTCAGCTTGTAAATACCCCTGTTCTCTCTCCTGGTGTAAATGACACCGGACATTACAGAGGGCAGAAGACTAAACTATCTATAAATCCTAAACTTTGTTATCTACTGGCAACAATGAGGATGCATCATCAATGGTGACAACCACCCTACACATTGGAAAACACTCTAAATCCAAATGAAGAAGGTAGCTACAAAAACAGAAAGGGGCATACATGGGATTTGCATATAAACGCAGGGACTATTTGGAGTCTACACTCACTGCTCCTTTTATCTTAGTATTTCCACTGCGTCTATGAAGTGATTAATCTTCAGAGCTCCCTGAAATATACCTATGGTGACATGCTTGCTTTTTCAACACAAGTAACACTCCTTACATGTGTTGGTAGATAGATGTCATAGACTGCTCCAGAGTCCACATCAACGGCATGAAACCCAGCACAGGAACCATAGATCACTTTCAACCTCTGTCCTTCTTCAACTGTCAAATCCACCAACAGTGGCCTGTGAACCAAATCTCCAAATGACTGCAAGAAAGAACATCAGTTTACAAAGGGGTAAAAAAAAAAAATAATAATCATAAATGTAAATTATTGCTCTGTGCTTAGAATATACAGCACAAATAAATGACAATCTTAGATGTACATTCCGGTCACTAAATAGTAGCCATATTCACATTTATGGTATGAGGCTATTACTTTGATGGAACTTTGCCCTTCCCTATAATAGCTACGTTTGCAACGAAACACTTGTTCTGGGGGTATTTTATTCCAAGAGTTCATTTTCTATAAACTATGTAACAGCAAAAAAAGTAAAAAAATAAAGAGAAAAAGTTAAGAAAAGTATACATGTTATTCTGCAATTTGTCCCATTTAGCATGACATCAAAAATTGGCTTTAAGTGTAGATTACCTACAAAGTAACCGTTATCTTTTACATTTCAACAAGCACTGATGATATAACAGCATGTTACAGCAATCGGTGGCAAAAAAGCTACATAGGCCGAGACCTCAGCTGCAATGAGATACATCCTAAATCCTTAACTGGAGGCAGATTTTTGCCTCAAATTGGCTTTTAATGTTCTATACCTTGATCTGCATAAATCAAAGCAGAAGATACTGACTACAAACATCTCTGATCAGCAGTAACCCCTGTCATCAACTTTATTGTAAAAGACTGGGCAGGTCCATCAGCTGGGGATGCCTGCTGAGGAGGAAGCACAGACAATGTAGTGCAGCTATCCATCTAGACCAGGGGTGTCCATAAGGTCGATCGCGATCTACCAGTCGACCGCAAAGCGATTAGTGCACATGGACTGGAACGCAGTGTGGGCAAGGGGCCTGGCTGCGGTACCATTCACTTCAATGCACCGCCACGTCCCCTCCCGCCCCTGAATGCAAGGGTTTTTTCGTTGGTAGATCTCATTGAGCTCATTTGAAAAGTAGATCTCCAGACGAAAAATTGTGGGCGCCCCTGATCTAGACCACCAATTCTATAATGAAAGTGTCATGCTCTAGAAGCTAAAATTACATCTTTTATTTGTTATGTATTTTACATCAATCTACAATAATGGCACCATCTTTTGGCATTAAAATGGCTGAAATCTTGGAATTCTGGTAGAAATGTCACCAGTGGATGATCAAATGATATAAGAAAACAACTTGGTAATAACTTTGCCAGTAAGCCAGGTACAGAACTGACACTACATAAGTGGAAAAAAAAATTCAATTTTTCAGACTGCAGTCCAATTACTCACCTTAAAGGCCATAAACTTGTGATATGGCTTTGGCGCCCAGGCATAGACTTCCACTGAACTCTTTAAAGCAATTACCAAAAACTTGATGCGCTCATATTTCACTGAAAACAGTAAGAAAAATTATTAAAATATGATAGACCATGTATAAGCATAGTTATACATTTTATAGAACAATTAAAGGAACATTACATTTCACAGAAATGCTTGCATATACTTTTATACAGTCATCTACAATAAGGCAGCTTTAAGATCTCTGCAAAGGACAAGGGAGCACTCTTTGCGTCTGGAGGAAAAGAGGTTTAACCTTTGCATACGGAAAGGATTCTTCACAGTTAGAGCCGAGAAAACGTGGAATAGACTCCCCCAGGAGCTAGTTCTAGCTAGCTCAGTTAACCGTTAAAAAAAAAAATCTGGATGTATTCCTAAATGCACAGAATATTACTGGATATTGAGTTCATATAGGTATATTAAGCATCAGAGATTGTTGATCCAGGGTATCAGATTGCCTTATGGGATCAGGAAGGAATCCCCCGTTGGAGCAAATTGAACCACGCTTTATAGGGGTTTTTTTGCCTTCCTCTGGATCAACAGAGGGTAATTGTGGGCATAGCGTTCTGTTTTAGGTTTGGGGTTTTTTTCATTATCTCTATAGGTTGAACTCAAATGGACCTGTGTCTTTTTTCTAACCGACTATGTACCAGCTGTACCAGTGAAAGTAAGTGTTAAAATAACATATATGATGCAGTGTGTCTAAAGTCTTTGTTTTCTAAGAACTCTACTTGTTTTCTTTTTATAACAGATTTTACAACAGGTAGAGATCTTTCTCTCGAGAAGAAAACATTCACACTGGTAAATGTCCTGGGGACGATTAAGCAGCAGATACCTACCAACTTTATAGTGCACACAGCCCTCCAAATCCCCTACAGTTGTCCACCCTTGCTTCTTCTCCACCTCTGGGTCATTATGAAGGATCTTGTTCCTCAGCCATGATAAGTAGTACACTCGCAGTTTATTCTTCTTTCCTAGAAATTCAGAGACATATACACAATTAACAAAGACTTGCCCCTTAAAATAAAGTATGGCAGCTGATGACTTGTTTAAAAGTGCAATCCCTGGATCGGTCATGCTTTTCCAACCAGCCATTACCTTCCATCACTATTTGAGGATTTTCCAACCTAGAACAAGAAAGTGCATATCCGATATGTACATACCTGTTTGAGGTTAGTGACGTACCAAGAAATATTAAAAAGGATAAGTATAATAGGCCCAGGGCTTGCACCGTAAAAAAACAAGTATGTGATGGCAACTTGCACATTTATATCTGGACAGGTTCCTTTTTATGATTAAAAAGGAAAAAAAGCACAGTAGATCTACTGAAGTATTCCTAAAACCCAAGGAGTTGTATACATTTATAGCCACTATTAGCAAATCATAAAATAAAACCTATGCACTATAAACAATGTATTCTGAGCATGTCTTGCATGTTAGTATATTACCTGATATTGTCACCAAGACATTGAGGCCTTCAAGGACGTCCATCTGCAGGAATCTCCTTCTGTTGATGAGAGGGTACACTTTTCCCTGACCGCTCCTGTCCAGCAGCATCAATCCACTTTCAGTACCCACCAGCAAGTTAACCCCTATGGAATATAAACAGAAACATAGGTTTGATCACAAGCAATAATTATGATGACACAAAAACGGACATCATCATAAACATGGATACTAAAACAATTATCCAATCCCTGATGAGCTGGGATCCTATTCTAAGAATGTACAGTATATATTTCTAGCACATAAGGACACAAGATTTTTAAAATAATGGTAATGCTAAAAGGTACATGTTCCTCACTGTAAAGCTATTGTGACATGTACAATATTTGAAAAAGTTTGTTCTGTTTAGAGCACTAAGGAATAAAATTGTTAAAAAGGAAAATTAAATGGACCTTCACTTTGATTATCTCCAAGGAAGGCACGTACGCCTGAAGCAACCATGATAAATGGGTGCAGTGAATAAGCCAGAATGTTGCGCTTACAGCAGTAACCTATGGATTGCCAGGGTGTGTGAATCAAGATTGGCTGAACAAAATTAAAATCCTTTGGCAGGTAGAAGTAGCAAAGATATGTATTTCAACTGTCAATTTTAAATGTTTGACTGAAGTCCCACTGACGAAGTATAACTAAAAAGATGAATTCTGTATCCTTTTTTTGGCTACAGCGCAAAAGTTTATTTCTGGAGATGAACTGAAATTCAATTTTGTTTAGTTAGAGCCAATCTGATCCTTGAGAATTGTGATTTTTAGATGTTCTTAAATAAATTTGTTTATTTTTATGTTTTTAATTCATCCAATCTGTTAAGAAATGCACAATTCAAGACTTCCTGCTAAAAGGATTCATGAATTGCACAGTTTTCTTTAGACTGGGTTAATTCAATACTCCAAAACCTAGGGGAATGAAGAATTACAGTTGACCTGGAAAATGTCGCACTCACCCAACTGGTAGATCTATAGATCAGTTCACTAGTCTCTACTCTGGTTATTGCAGAATGAACCCAAAGGTGTCAGCAGTGTCAGTTAAAGTGACTTTGTAGCTAAACTAAAATTGCAAATAAAAGATCTCACTGTAAAGATGCACTGCCCATGTTGCCAAATGCTGCTCCAATGAAAAGAAAGATCACCCCCACAGACATTCCTACAGCAGCCAACCCTTCCAAGAATATGATATCCAGGTCCCTTGCTGCGCTCTGTGGTTCCTCCTGCCAGCCCCCACATCACTACAGGACAGAGTAGTGATATAGCAGCTGGTGGGAGAAACCAGGGAATCAACACTCCCGAAGTGTCAGTTTCTGAAGAGACTTCAGTGGACTATTTATTTTTAATGAAGCAGGATTTGTCAGCGCAGGCAGTGGAAGAGTTAAGAATCTACGGTTCTCTTTACATGGCAAGCTTTTGATTACAATTTCAGATTAGCAAAAGAGCTGCTAGAATGCTGATATTTTGGGTCAACTCACTAAGATGCATTCGCTACTTGAGCTGCATTAACCACAGAAACCCCAGATTTCTCCTGAATGGGCATTTTAGCCCATGTAGTACAGAGGCAGAGACGGAGGCAGAGACGGAGAGAGAGACGGAGAGAGACGGAGAGAGACGGAGGCAGAGACGGAGGCAGAGACGGAGGCAGAGACGGAGGCAGAGACGGAGGCAGAGACGGAGGCAGAGACGGAGGCAGAGACGGAGGCAGAGACGGAGGCAGAGACGGAGGCAGAGACGGAGGCAGAGACGGAGGCAGAGACGGAGGCAGAGACGGAGGCAGAGACGGAGGCAGAGACGGAGGCAGAGACGGAGGCAGAGACGGAGGCAGAGACGGAGGCAGAGACGGAGGCAGAGACGGAGGCAGAGACGGAGGCAGAGACGGAGGCAGAGACAGAGAGAGACAGAGAGAGACAGAGAGAGACAGAGAGAGACAGAGAGAGACAGAGAGAATTTTTTTTACTGCAATCGACTGGTTGAAAAAATAAATTGGGCAACTAATCGATTATGAAAATAATAGTTAGCTGCAGCCCTAGATGCTAGACAAGTCCTTGCAAACTCTTTCCCACTTCCGCTTCAGTGGTGGAATGTCCCTCAGCATCCTCAAGTCCAATGCACTGTATTGGACATGATGGCTCACAGGTTCTTAAGACAGCCGGAGCAGAGGTGGACAGAGGCTACCGAGACCGGTCTAGCAGCCGATAAGATAAATATATTTGTTATTTGCTACCCTAGACGAAAATGAGCACTTAATACTTGCAGTGCGGTGGTAGCTCCATTGCAAGGGTTAAGCTTGCTTCTGCCTACAGTTCTTTAAAATAATAGCTACCCATCCAATAATCTATGGAAATTCACTTTTTATATGCAAAACAATACAGAAACTGACGCTATTAAAGGTTGTGAAATACATTCAGCAGGTCCATGCAATAAAACCATTAATGTATAGGAAGCTTTATTTTCAATCAAAGAAATGAGAAAAAAAAAGGCACAGCGCTGAAAATGCTGCATGTGCTGCGCATTAGAGAATTGACCATCATGGGACATAAAAAGGTAACATGTGTATGCAGCATAATTATACAAAAACGTTTTTTTAACGTTTAAACTATGGCCCGTCCCGGTCGCACACATCACACGCCGACAATGTCAGACACCGTGTGGGAGTGTGGAGGGAGTCCAGTGAGAGGAGGGAAGAGGCTGCTTTTAACTTGCGAGGAGTTAAATTATATTTAAAAAGGTACAGATTTTCCTATTATAGGTGTAAGCTTAAGTGTAGTTCATCAATATTCAAACATAAGTAGCATTATTTGGATACTTAGATGGTGGATGATATAAGAGATTTACTACTGTTGGATACAATTAAGACATTTTGTCTCCAAGTCTTGATACTGTTACAGACATGGAGGAATTATCTCGAGGCATTGCCCTGAATTATAGGTATAACTTCACCCTCAAATTGACTTTATTGTTAGAGAGATATTGGTTTGGATTATCTGTATATGTATTGATTTATATTTGGCAGCAATATGGATTATATTATAAATTACTATAGAAACTTCAGGACAGGTTCGGTCGCCCTTCTGCTCTCTCCATCCTCTCTGATCCCTGGTTGATTAGGGAGACCCCTCAGAAGTGTGAACCTAGTCACCATTATAATTTCAAAGATGGTATGTATGTATGTATGTATGTATGTATGTATTTGTGTTATGTATGGTTGATGGGAACTATTGAATATGCAATTATTTGCACATTTACTATCATATCCATGTGAATATTATAGGCTACCTCCAAAAACTTTGTGATGAAGCTTTGGCGAAACACGTAGAAGGCTGGACAAAGTACAGAATTACAGATAATTTGGTGATTAAAATGTGACCAATTATGAAATTGTTTGAAGACATTGTTAAAAGGAAATTGACGATAAAATAATGGATTGCATTGAAAAAAAACATACGGTACTATGTATCTGTACGGGTTCCAGGGAGGTTCAATGTCCTAATATATCTATCGTTGTAATTTTTAAGATGAGCGAATATGCTTTTATCTGTATGTTGATTATGGAATACATTTTATAAAAACTAAACTTTACCCTGGTTCGAATGCCGGCCAGGGTCAGTATCTGCAAGGAGTTTGCATTTTCTCCTTGTGCTTGTGTGGGTTTCCTCCGGGTACTCCAGTTTCCTCCCACACTCCAAAGACATGCTGGTAGCTTAATTGGCTTCTCTCTAAGTTGGCCCTATATGTATGCATGTGAGATAGGGACCTTAGATTGTAAGCTCCTGGAGGGTAGGGACTGATGTGAATGTGCAACTATGTAATGTGCTGTGTAAATTGTCGGCACTATATAAATACCTGTAACAAATAAAATAAATACTATAGTGTGATAATATGCATAGCTATGTCCCTCTGCATTCTTTAGAGGACACCTAAAAAGCCCCATCTAATTTCAGAGAGAGACAGAGAGAGACAGAGAGAGACAGAGAGAATTTTTTTTACTGCAATCGACTGGTTGAAAAAATAAATTGGGCAACTAATCGATTATGAAAATAATAGTTAGCTGCAGCCCTAGATGCTAGACAAGTCCTTGCAAACTCTTTCCCACTTCCGCTTCAGTGGTGGAATGTCCCTCAGCATCCTCAAGTCCAATGCACTGTATTGGACATGATGGCTCACAGGTTCTTAAGACAGCCGGAGCAGAGGTGGACAGAGGCTACCGAGACCGGTCTAGCAGCCGATAAGATAAATATATTTGTTATTTGCTACCCTAGACGAAAATGAGCACTTAATACTTGCAGTGCGGTGGTAGCTCCATTGCAAGGGTTAAGCTTGCTTCTGCCTACAGTTCTTTAAAATAATAGCTACCCATCCAATAATCTATGGAAATTCACTTTTTATATGCAAAACAATACAGAAACTGACGCTATTAAAGGTTGTGAAATACATTCAGCAGGTCCATGCAATAAAACCATTAATGTATAGGAAGCTTTATTTTCAATCAAAGAAATGAGAAAAAAAAAGGCACAGCGCTGAAAATGCTGCATGTGCTGCGCATTAGAGAATTGACCATCATGGGACATAAAAAGGTAACATGTGTATGCAGCATAATTATACAAAAACGTTTTTTTAACGTTTAAACTATGGCCCGTCCCGGTCGCACACATCACACGCCGACAATGTCAGACACCGTGTGGGAGTGTGGAGGGAGTCCAGTGAGAGGAGGGAAGAGGCTGCTTTTAACTTGCGAGGAGTTAAATTATATTTAAAAAGGTACAGATTTTCCTATTATAGGTGTAAGCTTAAGTGTAGTTCATCAATATTCAAACATAAGTAGCATTATTTGGATACTTAGATGGTGGATGATATAAGAGATTTACTACTGTTGGATACAATTAAGACATTTTGTCTCCAAGTCTTGATACTGTTACAGACATGGAGGAATTATCTCGAGGCATTGCCCTGAATTATAGGTATAACTTCACCCTCAAATTGACTTTATTGTTAGAGAGATATTGGTTTGGATTATCTGTATATGTATTGATTTATATTTGGCAGCAATATGGATTATATTATAAATTACTATAGAAACTTCAGGACAGGTTCGGTCGCCCTTCTGCTCTCTCCATCCTCTCTGATCCCTGGTTGATTAGGGAGACCCCTCAGAAGTGTGAACCTAGTCACCATTATAATTTCAAAGATGGTATGTATGTATGTATGTATGTATGTATGTATTTGTGTTATGTATGGTTGATGGGAACTATTGAATATGCAATTATTTGCACATTTACTATCATATCCATGTGAATATTATAGGCTACCTCCAAAAACTTTGTGATGAAGCTTTGGCGAAACACGTAGAAGGCTGGACAAAGTACAGAATTACAGATAATTTGGTGATTAAAATGTGACCAATTATGAAATTGTTTGAAGACATTGTTAAAAGGAAATTGACGATAAAATAATGGATTGCATTGAAAAAAAACATACGGTACTATGTATCTGTACGGGTTCCAGGGAGGTTCAATGTCCTAATATATCTATCGTTGTAATTTTTAAGATGAGCGAATATGCTTTTATCTGTATGTTGATTATGGAATACATTTTATAAAAACTAAACTTTACCCTGGTTCGAATGCCGGCCAGGGTCAGTATCTGCAAGGAGTTTGCATTTTCTCCTTGTGCTTGTGTGGGTTTCCTCCGGGTACTCCAGTTTCCTCCCACACTCCAAAGACATGCTGGTAGCTTAATTGGCTTCTCTCTAAGTTGGCCCTATATGTATGCATGTGAGATAGGGACCTTAGATTGTAAGCTCCTGGAGGGTAGGGACTGATGTGAATGTGCAACTATGTAATGTGCTGTGTAAATTGTCGGCACTATATAAATACCTGTAACAAATAAAATAAATACTATAGTGTGATAATATGCATAGCTATGTCCCTCTGCATTCTTTAGAGGACACCTAAAAAGCCCCATCTAATTTTGGTTGGTGTATGCAACATACATGAATCACTGGAGCTTTAGGTCTCGTTCACACCTAGGCGTATTGCATATGCGCGACCGTCGCGCGTTTTTTTTACCGCGATTCGATACAATAAATGAACTGCCCACAGGAAAATACATAATTTTTTCACGTACATGTTACCTGAACTTTTAAACTTACATTTCCAAAAATAAATAGGTACAGGATTTAAAAGGTATTGCCTACATATATACTTTATTACGACTATCTATAGCTAATGTGGTACAACACTTTACTGTTGGATTATCTTCCTATAATGCTCCATATAGTAGAGCAAAGGCATGTTTAAAAATTTAGTTTGGTCCACTTGAATTTATCTAGCATTGCATGGAATATACCCCGTGAGGCAAGTATCGGATTAATTTCAGTATGTGTGCTATATGCACTTTTCTATACACATTCATAACTCTTTTGTAATAATAATGATGCCAATACTGTTTGCCCAGCACTTTGTTCTAGGTAACTATGTGTGAAGCATTAAATGCAGGGAAAATTTGGGTCAAGGTATCGTGTAGGAATAAGACCACCATCATTCGTGTTACCAGATGCCAATAACTCTGTTCCTTTATATACGACATGTTGTTAGAAGAACTCACCCCAGAGTGCAGCACATAATATTTCAGAGTTAAATCTCTTCTTGTATTTGCGAATCTCGGGCGTATCACTCTGTGGCCTTGTGTTTGTGGGATTAACATTAACAACTGATCCTTTCCTTGTAGGATCTTGTCTCATAGCATCTGGCCTCAACGCTTCACTGGAAAATCCCACTAAAATAAAATTAGTATTTTTAAGGTTAGCTTCCAGTGTGCGCATGTAAGTACCTGAAAGATATAAGCGGTTACATGTTCAATGACAAAACCTCATCATTTCACTATCAGCCTTATTTACACTGCACATAGCAAGCAGGGTGGGGGGAGGCAGACACCACTAAAGGGATTGAGTTACACAGATGTGTCCTACATTAACACAAAACAAACTGAAAGTTGACATTTGGTAAGGCTGATATCTGGCCAGCCGAAATGGGTAAATATAATAGTTTATTGAGGTCATAAAAAAATTATAGGAGATCAGACCCACATAAAATCAGCATGCTGAATAAACAAAATGGGGGCTCAGCTCTGCATGCAATCGGGAGTCAAACCTTTACTGACAATGTGGCCAGCAATGCACAAGGTGTAGAAATAAAGGTTTACAACTCAGCAAGATGACTAGTAAAGCAAGGCAGAATATGTTGAACATAATGATCTTTCACTGATGGGTACTGCCGGTGGGCAGCTGCTAATCACGGTACCAGAGTTCTTTCACTGCACAGCTAATGAGGAAGGCTTCTTTCCTGCCTATGTTTGGTAAAGTCAACAATAATGTAAAGGTTGTTAGAAGCAGGGTAGCCGTTAGCCTGGAGCACAAGAACACACTAAATTTACAGGAAATCAGAAGAAAAGGTCAAGCAGGTTGGATATAACATTATATCTACAGCATCTACACATCAGTATTATAATACATGGTTATGAGAAAATACCTAGGAAATAGGTGTCTTCATTTGTTTTCAGGTAAAAATATAGCTGACCAGTAATTCCTAAATCATCAGTCGCTGTATATCACTTAATGTAGCAATGGGTGGATACTAAAATGATGGATACTTACCCACTGATGTCACAGTTGTACCACTGGACGGAGATATCTGTAGCAACCGAGGATCAATAAAAGGTGTGAAGGAGGAGGAAGATTTATGTTTCTGGAGGGTATTACTTGCTGACTGGGTCTAAAGCAAAAGAAAAGAAAAACAACATGTGAACATCAAAGTCTAACATAAATCTGACATGGTATGTGTATGGTGGAAGATGATGAAGTAGTGGTGGTTACATTGTTATATAAGGGAAGCTGAGTAAAATAATCAAACACTTTGATCGCCATATAGATTATAACCTAAACACCAGATTCACCTAAACTATTACACACACGACACATGCTTTATCTACTGAGTTTATTTTGTTTTGCCTGCAATCTTTAGATGTCATGGCTTTAATGTTACCAATGCACATAGAATTCTGTAAATAGGCGAACACTAAAGGGCACTAAAGTAAAACGTTAGAAAAAAAAAAAAAAGAAGTGATAACAAAACAACATATCATATTTTAAATGTCTAACTGCAGTATTTGTAATATGTTCTTGTAGCTGTGACATTGTAAGGGTGCTGTTGTAGTTCATTAAAATGTCCCTAAAACCACTGCATTTTATCAAAATTCTACAGTGTACTGCAGATTACCTCTGTGTGAAGGATAATGTAATGCTGCCACCTGTCTGTTCATATTTTATAGCACTTCATATAGTACCGTAATTGAAGTACAGGTCAACGCAACAAAGACCTAATCCATATAATTTACAGAAAAAAAAACATGTTGATGCTGCCAAAAATCCAGGAAGCCTCCAACTTCCTATAGTGAGCTGATATCTCTTCCTCTGCTGCTCTGAAATAGTGTTGCCAGTCTCATCTGAGTTCTCCCCTGCAAGACTACTAGACACCTATCCCTTATGTTATGGAGATGAGGAGAGGGAGAGAGATGTAATGTGCTTAAGTAGAGGAGAACCTTAGGTAGAGCAAACAACATTACTTGGAATTTCACAGCACCAAAGATACTGTGTTATAAGCAAACTGCAGACAGTTAGGCGCTCACTGAATTTCGGGCAGCATCAACCAGGTATTTTTTTGTACTTGCAGCGTTTTGAAAGAGAAAACGTGGTGAAATGTAAATGTACTGCAGATATGTACTGAATACGTTTATTCTGGCCAAGTATACACTTAGGGGTTCATTTATGCTGGGTAGATATGTTTGCACAGCACTAGCTCACCTAGACAGAGTTGACAAGTATAAGAATTTCCTGCACCCATCAGCGCCATGTAGGGGATCTAGTTATAAATGAACCCCTTACAGTCATTTCATTACCAATTAAATGTATTTTTTAAATTAATTTTTATTTTTTTAATTACTTAAATTATGGAAAAACCGCATTGGGTAGCTTACAGTTACAATATTTAGTTTCTGCTTTAGCAAAAACTATAAAACTTTCAATATACATAGACTATTAATATTTATGGAGTCTGTTTTGGATTTCTAAGTAAAATCCTGGTTGAAACAAGTGAAAATTCCCCTGTGACAGGTTCCTGCTACAACTGGCAGGATGCCTCTCCTTTCTTTTTATGACCGAGTGTCTCAGTTTATTCATGAAAAAGAAAGCCAGTTAGTTTGTAAAGAAAGGATTTCTGTAGGTTACAAAATGAAAATGGTTGCAAATGCTCAACTTGCACCTGTTTCAAGAGAAAATACCTGGAATCTAGACAGACAAACCCAATCGTGCCAAAATACAGTTTAGATAGACAGTGAGACAATGTGGAGTGCAACACTTAACACAATACATTCAACATAGAGTGATTTTGCATATAGCATTAGTTAAGGTACAGTGGGTGGAATGAATTCATAGCTGTTTTTGCAGATGAAGCTGGCACATAAACAACAAGAGGCTTTGCAGGAAGCATAAGGCAAACCACAAGCTCAACACTGAAGCAAAAAGGAAAAGAATATGAGATGCTTAAAATAACCCAAAGCAATAGGTTTATTAGCCAGCTGCTCCTAGTAAAACAGACACATACACAACAAGAAACCTACATCCATGTACTGTCAAGGGCATTCAGAAGAATATCACAGAGCATCTAAAACAAACGCAATAGGTCTTGCCATTCAAATAGGGATAGCTAAAGAACAATTTGTGAACTGGGATAGTTATAAAAGACGGTTCCGGCTGGCCACTCCTGTGGTGTATTGGTCACCTAAACCCAATCTGCACTCAGACTGAGGTGGTTCAATCGTTTAAAATTTTGACACTATGCACATAAAGATGGCAAATTTTGAAATATTTCTTAGGGCTAGTTCACACCAGAACTATGTGTGTCTGTGCAGCTGCAATGTGATGCCTTGTGCCACGATTTTACCGCAATTGAGGAGGTTTTTTTTGTGCTTAAAATGGTATTTCAGGTGAGTTCCAGTGCCCTGGCATGCGTTTTTGATGCGTTCCGTTGCAATTCGATGCAGCTAAAATAGGGCAAACAGTATTTTTTTTGGCTGCATCGGAACGGACTGCACTCGTGTTAATAGAGCACCAAAAAATCCCATAAGAAAGCATTGTGATGTATTTTGGCTGCAGCAGCCAAACTGAACAGACTGCATCACAACTGCATCTGGTGTAAACTAAATTTCCACAGATCCCATTCACACAGGGATGATAAAGCATTGCTCCCTGTGTCTTGTTGACTACCACTTACTGTTCCCAGGATGCCAGTTCCTAATGTGTGTACTGAGCCTAATGAGACATTGCTGCTGTAATATTTATTCCCATTAATGCTTGCCAATAAACAATGGCAACTGGTATTGAGTGAGAAGGAAACAAATTTAGGATCCCTGCGTTTCTAAACAGTTGTCTACTTACACTCTCTCCTGTGGAACTCCCTCCCCATTCAGGTTTTTACATTAGCAAATAGATTCTTTAGACATTCTCATGGCTAAAAGAAATGCTACCCACATGAATATTTACTGAAAAAGTTCTGCCTGTATCCCAAAGCAGATGAGAAACACCAATGTGACTGACAAATGCATACTTTCATACACACAGTGCAGAGAAACAAGTGCAGTGCATGTGAGAAGGAGTTTGGAACAACACAGAGGATGAATGAAACATGTCCACTGTTTAAACAGAAATTAACTTGTTATGTGCCGTATATATTTTAGTGGACAGTAAATACATGCAGATGACAGTGAATATAGGCTGAGAGTGTTTAGTTCTGTATGAGCTAAAAAGTTTTTAGAGTGGTGTTAACAGGGATGCATGTGACCAGACACTGTGTCACCACCCTATTTCCTAAGTAAGCAGCCAGCTAGTGTCAAGACATACCTCATTAGCAGTTAACTTGTCCTGGGGTGTCTGTGGGGACATGGTAGGTGTCGGCTGACTTGATGATGGGGAGGAAGTGGTGGAGGAGGAATGGCTTTGCTGTAAGAGATCTGGCAAGAGGTGAATGCGCCCGGCAAAGCCATTGCTCTCAAGTTGATTGGCACGCTTTTTGTCAACTGTACTCTGTAGAAAAAACAGTCACACTTGTCTTGTTCAAGTGCTGCTTTAGTACATACTATCCCTGGCAAATTCTAAAAGTTGGATTACAATTCACATTACTGACAGGGGTAGGACAGTCAGAGCTGCCAAGTAACTTCATGTCTTGAGGCCACAGTAAAAGGTGAAGGGTTTCACAAGAAAAGCCATTTTTTTCTGCTTTGGTTTGCTTACAATGGCTTTTGAATATTAGGGCAGAACAACCAATTGTTATAGAGTCTTGTCACAGTACCATTTAAAATGTGTTAGATGAATATTTAATGGGGTGCCAACAAAGTATTGGAAAGCTAACACCCTTGACCAAGATGGTGGACTAACAAGCATGAAGTCATAGGTTTACAAACTCTGCATTTTCTGAAGCAAAAGCTAATATTGTGTAAAACAGTTTAGGCACCAATTGAAATGTTAGTGTTATAAAGAAAACACCAGATTAATCCAGATTTTTCCTCAAAAAGGACTATGGGACCGATTACTAAAGGTCTACTCTGTGCTTGATTATAATTAAGCTATGCACAGTCTTCTGGTTCAGAAAACCACTGGCTTATTAGAAAGTTAGTAGAGCGCGCCTGTGCAAAACATGCAGAAAGCAGCAAATGAAAGGACTCCCATCTATCTACTGCTCATGCACAGAAACAACAAAGGCCTGCCATAATGAATGAATGCTAACTGCTACAACATATCACAAAGGACAGAATGCAAGGGAATGAACAGAATGGATGGAAGAGTTGACTATGGTATTTTTATTTTCTTACAGACTAGGAGGTTATACCTGTCGGACGATTAAAGTGCCTTCTTTGGAAGGCGTCATAGCAGGTTCACTCTCCACGTCATCATGGACAATCATTGTTTTTACAGATTCAGTCTCTCCATTACTCAGATTCAGTGAGGACCTGCACAGCATGCAAGGGATACAAAGCATATGATAAGCTTCTAAACAAAACTGGTCAGTTTCACATGACTGGAAAAAGCTAGTTCCACTAAAATGTTCTATAGAATATTCCATAAGGTAAGAAAATAAGAAGGGGAGGTGCTGACCAATGAAGCCAATCAGATTCTGGGTACTTTACTAAGAAGAGTTAAAATACAAATACATGTAACTGGCCATTTCATTTTCTTCAACATATACTAAAATCCCTGTGTGAGCCGTTGAAATAAACAAACATACATCGCTCTGGCATCCTCAGGACCCGAGGTTGATTCATCCGCTCCTTCTTGTTCCATGTCATCATCCTCCTCATCGGTTGTGCCAGACTCTTCACTGGATGAAGAATAGTCTGTTACTTTATGCAAAGGTCGTACATCTTCCACAGCACGAAGTTCTTTTGCCAAAGCAGTCAAATCCTAAAAGAAAAAGTCAAATAAACCTTAAAGTAAACCTGCCATGAGAGAATAACTAGGGCTCCTACCTTCTGAAAATGCCAGTTTCTTGGTTCTTTGCAGACTCCCTTCAAAACAAACTAGTACTTGACTGGAATCAATGAAATGACCACAATCACTATACTGCAGTTAGTGTCCCAATGCCACCTCACTGCAGTTACTATCACAGTGTCATCTTAGTTTATCCAATACAGCCCTGTGGAACCTGGGACATGAGGTGTACCTGTATACTCCCCATTGCCTTCTACAATGCATTGCTCAGTGCCCTAAATGACCAACTGGCAGGTCCAAGCAGTGTTGCATAGGAATATGTGACCTATACAAATATCAACGATTTCAGAATTGTTAGGGTGGGACAAAGCAAATTTCAGAGGTGTGCTAGTCGGCAATGGTAAGGGCACACACATTATTGTCCCTCTGTACATCTGTTTTATCTTCATTGGAAAATACAGCCACTTAAGCTTTTCTGAATCTTGACAATGACAATATTTTGCTTCCCTCTCTTGCCCAAGCTCTGCTGATCTGTTGATTCCTACTGTGTTTCATGGAGACTTAACATAACTCAATGGCAATGGAAGAAAAGAGGGTAAGGCCATTCACATGGCAACATGGAAAATCAAGGGAATTTCACACCCATCCAGAGCACAGGTTATAAACTGTACTAAAGATGCTAAACAAAAACGAGTAAATATTCAGCCTCTGTGTTAAGCATCTTGAGTTTTGAACCATGAATGGCTGTATGAACATAATTTGTAGTTGTTATTGAGGTCAGAAGACCCATTTGTTTTTCAAATGCAGCTACACAGAAACAAGTCATGCTTCCTCCCATGCTGGACATGAGCAAGACAATCTGAACAGGTAAAACAGTGAAGAAACCTCTGTGTAGGCTTCATTAATAGAAAATAAAGCATGACCAAGCTTAAATTATTATATGCAGCAATTAACAATATTCCAATATTTGTAATGTTTTATATGTTTCGTTATTTCATCTACTTACCACTTCTCCCTGGATAAGTCCAAACAGAGAATACAGTTGTGCCATATGTCGTGAACAGACCAGTAGATGAAAGGGAAGGCAATTGAAACAAAAATAATGTCAGTGGAAAGTGAAAACGCAAAGCAATCTGATTTAAAACATCAATCTTTAGAAAAAAAGGTTAAACTCACATTAATTAAGTTTATGAAACTAACATGAGTTGAGCTGGTTTCCAACTTGGCTGAAGAAAACCACTAGTTTCAAGCTCAATGGGGCCACACAGAATTGTTAGGGTAAACCCTTGCAACTAGAGTTATTGTTCTATTAAAATGAGTTGACTTTTAAGGGAAGGCAGAAGAAAACATTATGAAGACACTAATTCTGCTAAAGTGCTGACGGTGATCTTAACATAGAATGAACAAGTGTTATGTAAGCTCATCTCAGAATATCTCAGTGTTGCCCCCTGTGTGCGCCTCTATTTAGACTGCAATGTCTTTCTGGGTCCCCTTTTCTTTTGTTTGTGTTATGATGTAATATTGTCTACGGCAAAGCTCATAGGATGCTAGCCCAGAGAGTAAAAGTTTTGGAGAACTGTGAAAGTAACGCAAAATGGTTGGCACAAATGAACTCAACACCAATATTTTCTGTAATAAATGAAACCAAGGAATGAATTGAGTAGAATAAATCTACAAGGAGCAACATTACATCTTCTAAGGGTCATAACTACATAGTTTAGACTTCAAATGGTAGCTTTTTTCAAAAGGACAAAAAACTGCTGTATTATTCAGTTTAAATGCTTCAACCAACTGAGGATCACAAAGAGCAAGAAGCCTGCGGTGCAGCCCAGGCAGCAGAAGTCTGACATACAGAAAATTGTTAAGGGCATAGCCTGAGACATATATAAATGCAAAAATAAACTTAAACAGCCGTTTTTCTTACAGCTGGCTTGCCCGGTCTTCCAGTATCTTTCTTCTCATCAGGTTTTTTGGTTGTATTCTCAGGACGTTGGGATGGTGAGCCTTCAGATTTTGATGATGCTAGTATTTCAGGGGAGAAAAAAAACACAATAAAAAAGGACAAACTTAGTCAAGCAGACACGAAGGGAGAATAACGTACAAGAAAATAAATGGGAGAACACAAGATGGTATTGTATACCAAACTATCCCAGCTATTGCTCATCAAAACACCAAAGAATTTTAGGACTGAAAGGTGGCTAAACAACAGACCCAATCTATAATTATATACCCTACATAAAAATGTTTGACTCGTAGGAAAATGTTTCAGGGAGAAGATGATCACGGATATACTGCCCATATCCTACTGTACCCTCCTGTGTACATGACTCATCTTGGGAAACCAAGTTAATACCAACAGCAAGACACAAAACATTTACTATCATAGTGTAATATATTGTCCCTGCAGTTAAACATGCAACGCAAAAAATAGCTAGTGCTTTAATATGGCCAAGGAAACTGTTGTCCAGAGTAAATTGCACACAGGGCAAAAAATATTGTATGAGGAGCTAAATCAAATGTTAAATATATTTTTCCTTTTTAGTGATATTATCTATATATCAAGGAGCTTCAGATCACTGCATCTGAAGATGTTAAATTATATCTTCATTCATACGTACTGACAATTTGAAGGAATGATGGTAGACAAGTCTATACACGGTCTTAGAGCCCATTCAAATCTGTGTGTTGCAATAACATGCAGTAAAATTATAATTTTACTGTGTGGTCAACAATGCATGGGAATGCGTAGGTGTGTGTGTGTGTGTGTATTAAGGTGCACATATACAGTAGTTATTAATGCAACTGTGCCCATAGCATTTGCTGCCTATTCAAGTGCTCATGTACTATCCAGACAGTAGCCAAGTTGTACCAAACACATACCTGAAGTCTAGTTTTTGAAGATTTTGGTATACAGGGATGGGAGGAAGTTTGGGGATATGGGTTGTGCTTCTGAAATGTGCTTTTGTGTCGTGTTTTAACATTTTATTAAACGTAAGACAATGCAGTGTGGTAAATAAAATAATAAAAGAGGAAGCAATTAAAAAAAAAAAAATTAAGATTCCACCCACACCCCTCCCATAGACTGCAATGGGAGGGGTGTGGGTGGAATCTTAAGAATTTATTTTTTTTGTTAATTGCTTCCTCTTTTTTTTTCAAAGTATGAGTTTTGTGAATTGAACCCAAGTAGATACCGCCCCAGTCATAGTCCTAATATAATCATTGTGCACACACAGTTCCGGAAAAATTGTCCAAAATCATTTAAAATCAAACAATCTTTTGAGCCCATGTATGGAAAACTTAAAAACGGCCACACATTAACCTATTTACATAATCTACTAGGGAGGACCTCACACTTTGCTTGTTGGTAAACGTGAAGGAGATTATTACATAATGAGATAGTAAAGTCTGTAGCCATAAACAAATCAGGTTCTACAGATGTAACTGATATTTACAATTTTTAGCATTACACCAAGCTCCTCCTTTTTCAACATATAGGCCTGGTTCGCACTGAGCGTTTGTTAGTGTTTTTTCTGTCCTAAAAAAACGCTAAAACATATGCCCAAAAAAAAATCCCATTCATTTCTAAGGCCCTGCTCACATCTCAGCGTTTTGTCACAATAAGCAAAATGCCTGTCGCTGGAAAAAGTACAGGAGCTTTTTTTGTGGCATATTACAGCTCGTTTTGGCTCCAAAGGAAACGCTTGAAAACGCCGGTTTGCTGTGTTTTTGCTAGTTTTAGGAGCGTTTTATGCACTTTTTCTCATTAACATCAATGAGCTACAATCTGCTCACAAAAACGTGCTTTTTGCCATATGTGCATAAAACGTGCACAAAATGTGCACCAAAACATGCATCAAAACTGCATGTTAAAAACCGCAAATGCTGTAGCCTTGTGTGAACCAGGCAAGGCTTTTGACATACCCAAGTGCTCACTATAAACTTTCAAGGGTTGTTAATACCGTTAACAAGAACCATCAGAACAGGAAAGAGGAGAAATCTTCCAATGGGCACACTTGTTCCTAGGACAACGGTAAGAGGGAATTTCCTTTACATTGAAAGATATCCTCATTTTCTGTTAAGTACAGAGGGAAAAAAAAGTAATGGGAAACTGCCGTAATTAGATACAGATGGGCAACAAAATTTGACCCCACTCTATCCAAAAGGAAAGAAAAATAGTTGATATATACTTCGAAAAGGTTTTCCAGGATAGCTGAAAATTTACTCTGTGCACTAGAAACCTGCACCTGCCTGTCAAGTGCAGTAAAATCTTGTCCCACAGTGGATTTCAACAGAATATAGGACCTGCATTTATTGGAGACTTTAGTGCCACAGCACCATTAGTGATTCTTGGCATACCAACATCCAAAGAGCAAATGTAGCAGTGCATGGATACTCTAAAGCAATTTCTTCTAGGCACCAAACCTTTAAAACACAAGCAATGCACATACTAAGACGTTACTTACATCTCACACGGAAGCGCTCTCCTGATCCACTCTGAGATCCTGGATGTGATCCTGCTTGGGAACCAGAGTTACTTGACCCTGAAGAACTGCCACTGCCTGGTCTTGGAACAAGCTTCTCTACCCTCTCCCAAAGCAGCCTGGGCTCGATATTGCTAATAGGAAACAAAAGTTTTTAAAACAATCCAATAAGTTGAGCAAACTTTAATGTCAAAACACTTGGTATCTTTCATTTTGAATACTTTATTTCAACATCTTGAGAAAATTAATTAATTAGAGTTCAGCTGTTGTTCCTCGCTGCCAATTATTTTATTTTTTAAAGAATCTGATCGATTCAAACAACTTTTTACATGTACCTTTAAAAAGTGTGCATTATTATAAAGCCCGAAGTAAAACTAGAGTCCCGGAAAATTCCTATGCAAAAACACGTGTATTTGCTAGGTTAGGGATGCCCACAATTGTGATTTCTCTCCGGCACATTGTGGTTCCTCTCTTTGGCTACTAGGTCATTTCAGGACAAAGTGAAGTAGGGGCCACTGAGCTAAGTGGAGGACAGGGAAATTCTGAAGAATCTTCAGATAGCACTTTCTCTTAATTGTGCCAGGAATCAGCTGAATGGCAGCAGAAGTGGTAAATATTAAATACCTTTACATCTTTATTTTAAAAATGTAAACATAGGTCACCTTAAAAGGTCATTTGGGGCCTTGCCAAGAATATGTGTACACTTTAATGTCCATAGACTGGCCACAGTTACTCTATAAAAAATGTTTTGTTGTGGTTTGTTTTTTTAAAAAAAAGGCATTGGTTCACTTTAATGTAAAATCTCAGTGTACTTTACAGTATATTTTGAATAACCAGTGCCACCAGTTCCTGGTCCATAACTGAATGTACCTACCACAAGCATATACACATACCTATCAGAAACCAATAACCCTTTTTTAAGTTGAGATTGTGGAAGAAAACCAGGAACCTGGAGGCGAAAAGGGGAAGCATACAAATTCACACTGTGACTGCTAGTAATAGAACCCAGGTCCCCAGCACTGCAAGTCCATGCTGCTGACCACTATCTAATTTTGAGGCCTAGTTGGTCAGTAACTCACTGCAGGGAGAAGCTGTAGGCTGAGTGATCAGCGGTTTGTGATCGCTCAGCTTTTGGTATAATCTGCATTGTCCCACGCCCACTCTAAAGTTGGCCATACACCTATAGATTATCTGCAGATGTTCTATGGTCAGTTAGAAGAAGTGCAACAGATTTCCCCTATATACGCTTAACTGTTTGGATGGAGGAATCTCCCACCGGACCAAGCCTCAGTATCTTGCCAGTCTGCCCCGCTGGCTCTCAAAACACCAGAACAATGCCTGCATCCAATCATATTGTTCAAGTATGATGACAGCCAACGGGGCTGGCTAGCAAGATACTGAAGCTTGGCCCAGTGGGAGATTCCTCCATTCACACAGTTTAGTGTAGATGGAGGAATCTGTTGCACTTTCTCCATCTGATCATAGAAAATCTGCAGATAATCTATAGGTGTATGGCCAGCTTTAGTATTGGGAATAGTATATTTTACTCTGCCAATATTTCTTGCAGTCTATCGGCACTACTGCTTAGTACAGAAGAAGCAGGTCCAACCGACAATAAAACACAAGTCCTCCAAGCTCATGTAACACACCTCGTGGAATTCCTCTGTCCAGATTGGTTATTCTGTTGCACGTTGCCCTGCAGAGGGGAATCTCTTCGAGACAACACAGGTGATCTTGATGTTGTCCTTACAGGCACCTTTGCCAAAAAATAGAAATATAAAACAGTGCTATAAAAAAACATATCACCAGCTCACAGAAAGTTTTTCACTTAACAAATTAACACATATTTTGTTAAACTGGGCATGACACAAACAATCTAACACAGACTAAAGCTTAATGCTGTATTGGTGACGATTATGATGTATGATTTTATCTGAAAGAGTTGCTTCCGTCTATCGGAAAAGGGGAAATGAACTGGATGGCTAAAGCAACATTATGAAGTTACATGGTAAAAAGCAGCAAAGCCAACATAGGATGTGGAGAAACATACATTAGCTGTATAAAGTATGAGAAATGCACATTGATCTGTCACAGAGAAGCTGGAAAAATTTACTACTGCAACTTCAATTTGGTTAAATCCACAAACACTAAGAAATAGGCCTACTGACACTCATGGGCATAAACTGTTGGCTCTAAACAAAAATGCGAGTCTCAATAAAACTACACTGAAGTGCTTTAGGCTCATGTGTATGGATTTACCGATCCAACAGCTTACATGACATACTATAAATAAAAACAACAAAGCTCATTCTGTATTTTTCTGTAGATTCACATCAACTGAGTACTAGACAAAATTGTATAATAGTTTAAACACAATCATTAAAGAATAAGTAGCAGGAAAAGGCTTCTATTCCAGCTATTGTAAAAATGAAACTGATCTCAACTATAAAATCATTCCCAGTTAGCACTGCTAGTAGGCAAGGTAGACAGGAAAATGGATTTCAAGAATACCCATGTAAAAAAAAAAAAGCAGTACTACTATATTTCTATCAGATGCAGGACAACAAGTCATGTATGATTCACATGCTAATTGCAGAAATATTGTTATGAAAATAGTCGGCAGTTACTGTACACTAATTGGACATAGCTATACTGTAGAAAAATAAACATGGAGGCCACTCACATGACTTAACATCCACCATGCATAAACATTTTATATTGGTGTCAGGTGCTACCTCAACTTGCATGGTCAAGAGCTTGGTACATTACTACTTCTACTCCTTACCCTTGGAGGCACCTCTTCACTGTCTGATCGAGCCCAAACCCTTTGGTTGGGCTCGGGAGTCTCAGACTTAGGGTCAGAAGTTTGACTTAGAACTTCACTGCGTGGGGAAGGGTGTGGTTCCTGAGAACGTAGATGATGAGGTGCAAATTTGGGAGAAGGGTCACTGAAGGAATGGGATCGCGAGACAGGGGAAACATTGTTCTTGAGGGATGCCAGATGAGACCATTGTACCTTACAAGAAAACAAGACATAAAACATTTACATGGTGTATTGGCAGTGCTGACTTTTTATTCTAGTGTAAGAATCTAAAAAGTCAGACAAGGATGAAACAGACAAAAAGCAGGCTCACTGACACAGTTGTAAGGTAGAAGTAACCACAGGGATGAAAGGCGAACAATGGTTGACCTTATGTTAATGTTATTTATCATAAGACATCATGCACAGCATTATATAACGAGTAAATCCTTATATGTGCAGACATCAAAAACTAGATTGCACATGCATATAATGATAACAGAAACAAGTACAGCTCACAATTTTACAATAAACTTATATTATATGTAAACTGGAAACAGCAGGGTAAGGTTTAGATTTTACATAAGGTCGGGGAAATGTCATCAACCATCAAACCCATCTGTCAGAATACGCCATGTTAGATATTAATGTGTTCTGAGCTCAGCTACAGTTTTTTTTTCTTAATCAGTTTTTGCCTTTATTGACAACTTTTACAATGAGAAAATCTTTGCAGTGCAATATAAACACTCACACACACACACTATCTGGTCAACGAAAAGTCACGCACTCTAAGCTCTACATGCTCTGGCTTTGAATACAGCGCGCATTTGCGGTGGCATTGTTTCAATAACCTTATGCAATGCCGTGATGAAGGGATAGTCTGACCCCAGCATAAAGTCTTCTCCAGCACATACCAATGATTCTCAATAGGGGTTAAGGTTTGGACTCTATGAAAAAGATGTCTCATGCTCCGTGAACCACTCTTTCACAATCTGAGCCCCAGGAATCCTGGCATTGTCATCTTCAAATATGCCCCTGCAATCAGGGTCATTCAGTTTATTCCGGTAGGCAGCTAACCTCATTTTGTGGCGACATAACATGCTGAACCTAGACATGACGAACTGAAGCAACCCTATTGCTTCAGTACCTATTTGCTTAGCTAAATCCAGGTGGTGACTTTTTTTGGCCACGGAGTGTGTGTTTATAATTATAAAGAATAACATGGTTGTACATCGTTATTTATTAAAGTGAACTAATCACAAACTTGGTCAACTGTAAAAGCACATTATAATAAAAAGTGTTGGCAGATATTCCCTTCAAACAAGTATACCCCCAAATGTAGATGACTGTACCTATATTCAAACCTTGACTTTTTCCTACAATAGTTTAGTGTTAACCTGTCTCTTGAAGGTATGTCCATGCATCTCTAGGTGCCTGCTATACTACTTGTCAGCTTTGTTTTCGTTAAAGCCAGCAACTATAAACTACTTACATATGTAGCTATAATGATCATTGGGACACACTACTTTCACTAACAGTAACCATTCCTTAATCATTCTGGTAATCTGAGGATCTGTGAATTGGCCTTATTTGGAACAAGTTTACGTCAATGTGTTCATGTTATTCTGTACTTATTTTATTTTTAATAGTTTGTTCCTAGGGCCAAAAACAAACATTTTAAAAGTATCTGAAGACATTTACTGTTGACTTCTCCCGCTTTGAAGAAAGTTAAAAATAAGGCAAAAATGCCACTTTCAAGAAAATGTGTTATTAATTTAAGTGCAGTAAAAAGACAAGTATGCAGAGCTTTAAACAAAACAAATTGTTGGCTGCATTGCAATGCATCAATTGCAATGTAATACAATTATGAAGTTAAATAGACGGCAGTGTGTACTATTTACATAAATCATAGGAACTATACATACATTAACGATGGAATGCAACTGAACGTAGGCATTTAAAAAAAGTGATAAAAATCAGTCATGGGAATAATTCATGAAATATGGATCTAAGAAAAACACTCTTACCTGTAAAATCCATTTCTTGAAGTACATCACAGGACACAGAGTTAATTCTTGAATGTCTGGGTTATTCAGCCACCTTCAGGTGATATGACACGGCCAAATCAAAGCTGCAAAGGACAGCCCTGTATAACCCTCCCTCTCCCAGTCTACTTAGTTTTTTTAGCAAGCATACATGAGTGGATCAGAGAAGCCAGAGATAATAGTCTTGTATCCTATGAAGTACTCCAAGAAACAGATTTTAGAAGTAACATCAAGCACACAACAAGCAAAGGCCAATAGATCCAAGAGAGCAACAGCCAACCACAACAGGGAACCAAACCAGAGGGGGACCCACAATTCAGAGGCAGTCTAAATAACCTTGTGGCTGAAGCTAACATCTGCAAAAGGACTGAATGTCCACCTACGATTTGGCAAAAGTATGTACATAGGAACAGGAGGCAGCCTTGCAGATTTGGGAAACCAAAGCCTGATGCTAAAAGGCCCAAGAAGTACTAACATTCCTAGTGCTCTGAACCCCAAACAGAAAGTGGGAACTTTACCCTTCAATGTACAGGCTTTTGTGATAGTTCCTAGATCCACCCAACAATCCTAGAAAGACACCGGCTGCCCCATATGGGGGCCCTTAGCAATTACAACGTCACAATTGAGGATTGAAGCTGTAGTAGGGAGGTTAACTTGAACAGCTGGGACCATGTCCAAACAGTGGAAAGAGATTATTTAGGATGCTGGTTAAGGTGGAAGAGGAAGACCACCATAAGAAGAAAAAGAGGCCTTAGGTACTTCCCTTATCCTTGTGGAAAACCAGAAAAGGTTCTTTACAATATCAAAGCCACCAACATGAACAACCCCCTGAAAAAAAATTGCCAAGGCAGAAATTTGGCCCTTATTAGTACTGATGCCAGTTGGGATGCCAGCCACAATTACTTCCTTGGAAACTTTTTCACCAAATTATGTATGCCTTCTAGGTGCAATGGTAGACCTTCCTGGATGTCGACTTCAGAAGTGTAGAGATAACAGTTTCCGATAAGCCTTTGTTGTTCGGGACCTGGGCTTCAACAGCCAGGCTGTTAAAGCCAGAGATCAAGAAGCAGGGTGGAATACCAGTCCTTGGGACATGAGGTCTAGACCAGGGGTCAGCAACCCCTGGCACGCGTGCCCAGCCTGGCACGCGAGGCCTTGACAGCTGGCACGCGACATTATTCTTTATCATTTGTAGTTGACAGCTCGAGCCGGCTGTCAATTACATTCCTGGCCCGCCCACCTCCCTCACGTGACTGAGCGGCAGAGGCGAGCTTAGGAGGCCCTCAACTTAGTCTGCGCAAGCTCTTGCCTGTACCAGCCCGCGCAGAAAGATGCCGGCTCACCCGACGGGATGATTACCGCACCTTGCCCGACAGGAGGATTTCAACACCATCCTGCCGGAGACCACAGAAAAATTAAAGGAGCCAGCCAATCGCCTGGAATATACTGTATGTACCACATGTATACTGCTCAACTACTGTACATGAATTCTGCTCTGAGATCTGACATTCAGAGTATGCATTGGTGCTGGTCTGGGGTCAGCTGACAGTAACATCCTACAGGCCAGAGATTGCTCAACTGAACCATGAAATAAAGACACAGGGATCACACTAAAAAAAAAGTCCAGTTTACTTTTCAGCACATGTAAATATGAACATGTTTTGTGTGTACACCAGTTATTCAATTTTTTTTCCCTTATAGTTGTGCTGCTACTGGCGAGGTAAACACATTAAAATAATTAGTGAGTTTAACTTACTATTAGCAGTACAGCCATGAGTGAAAAAATGTAACTGTAACTAACACTAAAGCGTGCTATTGTTCACTGGCACTCGGTTGTACCATGGTTTCAAAAATGGCACTTGGTGTGTAAAAGGTTGCTGACCCCTGGTCTAGACAATTCAAGAGCACCCAGAGGGTCTGCCGGGAATTTATCTACATCTGTGTACCACAACCTCCTGGTCCAGTCGGGAGCAATAAGGATCACCAGAACGTCATCTGCCTCAATCCCGCAAAGGAGGCGAGGCAAACGTTTTAGAGAAGGGAAGACGCAAGTCAGGCTGAACTGATCCCACGGAGTTACTGAGGCAACCTTTGCAAAATCTGTTCTTGACAACAAACCTGTCCAGCTTGTTGTTGAGTCAGGTCCACATCTGGCATCCCCAGTTGGGACAAAGCTCCCAAAACACCTCCAGGTAAAAAGGGCCCATTCTCTAGGATACAGATTTTGATGACTGAGGACGTCAATCTGCCAATTTTCCACACCTGCAATGTGCACGTTGGACAGAGCCGGGAACAAAGCTCCATCCAAACCAACACCGCTGGAACCCCAAATGTGACCCACAGTGGGAAGGGGCAGAAACCCTGACTTACCATCCTCAGAGCCATGGCTGACTTGGCAGTGCGATCACTTACATGGGACACAACCCATGCAGTCTTTTCCCTCTCATTGGTACCACAGTCTGGACCTGTAAAGCACGCTGTGGCAACTACATATACTGCACAAAGTGCTGAGACGTGTACCCTATGCAGGATCCAGTGTTCTAAGCACACTGCAGGCCAGCCCTGCATCTTTTATCTAGCGGGGTCTGGGTACAATTTGCCAAGGCAGAAAAATTATCTGTATAGCAGCTATCAGGTTTCACAGTGGCTGTGAGTAGTATTAGGGAAACTTGCTAGAAGAAACTTCATTAGAAAAGAGCAGAAAAGTATGCAGAGAGGCATCCATCACCTGAGGACACTGGCATAAAAATGAGGCAGGGTGGGAGAGGGGGGTTATACAGGACTGTCCTAACCGCTTCAATTTGCCAGTGTCCAAAGACCTGAAGGTAGCTGCATAACCCATCCGTTCAAGAACTCCCTTTGTCCTGTGTGTTAAGATGAAGTGGTGTCGTTACCCAGAAAAAAATAGACATAAAACACCATTACAGATTTTTCAAGAGGAATTTAAAAGGAATGAGAGAAATTTTTAGGTCGCCATTGCAAATTTCAACTGATTTGCTACAGAACTTTTAAAATTATGGTAGACGCATTCATAGCAGACTCAATATGCAGTTGTAGAGGGCAGTGAACACATGTTGTGAACAGGAATAATTGGTAACAGAATAGGCGCAGCACGGAATATGAGATTTATGGTCTTGGATTAGACCACTTACAAATTCTAAGTAATAACCAACCATATGTGCGCCTTCAGCGCAAAGACACATTCTTTCTAGATCACCATGTCTGTTAAGATTCTGCCAGGTTTAGGAGTCACATATACAGATGTTAAGTTGTTAGCTCACAAACAAAGACGTTTTAGTTTACTAATGAGCAGAAACAGTGCTCCTTTGAGCTGAAGATAAAAATAACATACTTTGAATTTGCAGATTGCTACAGTAAGCATATTTCACAAGAAAGCCCCCCCACTGATAGTTGTGCTCATACCTGAGGTTCCACTGGCCTATGCATGGCAGGCTGAGCAGGCTCAGAATTCCCATTGGAAAAAGACTCCGATCTTGAAGGCACTGATGGCTCCAACACTCTCCCTGTTTGCTTTGACTGTGCTTCAGGAGAGGCTTGATTCGTTTTCCTAAGGCGCTCTTCTGCCTATATCACATTCACAACACAAAATACTATGTGTTACATTCTTACAAGAGTATAAATTTAGGTATTTTATCAATATGGTCGGTGAATCAGGTATTTATAATGGGCTCTCTCAATTCTGTGTATAAACCGTGTTAAATGTGCATGTCTGGGCATAATTAAGTAAATAAAAAATGTAAATATACTACACCCACTTCAGAACACCTCCCTCTGTGTTTATGAAAATGAGCAAAGGTGGCAGAGTTCTGTAATCCGGCAGGGGAAAACTCAGGCTAACACTGATAGATCTTTCAAGGCAGCCCCGTTGACAACTACAGAGTGTCAAAAGAGACAAAACATAGGGTGAATGGAGTGTGTGTAAATATA